TCGATTATTAAAAAAAAAAAAAAAAATACGGTAACCGGTACTCCATTGTAACTGTGGTCTGTGGGTTGACTGTGTGTCTATTGATTGAGACAGGACAATAAAATACAATAATGCTGATGAAAACAATAACTAGACATTGTAAATTTACATTGTTAGGCCGATTATGTCTACGATCACGAGCGGGCAACAACAACAACATACCCAATATGATCTTACAAGTGGGGTCCGGGGAGGGTGGAATTAACAGAGACCTTACTCATACTTGTGTGAAGTAGAAAAGTTATTTCCGATAAACCCTCGTCTAGTAGCGAACCAAAAAATTGTGTTCAAAATTTGAATACCTTTTGCCAGTAGGCTATGCAAGGTGTTCGAAGTCTATTTTTTGATTACTAACAAGTAATACTTTAACCTACGCACAGTATAATTTGTCAGCTAAGGGGATTCAGTTGACCACCTTTAGCCACACATAGCTTCGCCCCTGGGCCTCGTCTACAACCTCGAGCATAATAGAACAATGTATACTATAACAGAAGTGTATCGAAGACGAGGTTCAGGGGAATGACCTGAAGAGGAACATGGTTGTTCCTCAGTGGATAATGTGACATTTGGACGGTGGCGAGAATAGCCATTATTCTTGATCAAGAACCTGCTGCTGCTGCTGAAGGCATAGGAGAGAGTTGAGGCAGCAGTTGCCATGTTTGTGGGAGTAGCTACAACAACCACTAATGAGAAAATGGACCATAGAAATGGAACAAGAGTACAAGACTACTATCTTTTTAGCTATGAGCAACAGCCTTCCAATACTCTTGTCTTGACTAAGATGTCTACTTTCTTCCTTACCACTCAATTTATATAGATGATAAAGTTTGAGGGAAATGGAAAATTTCGAGAAAAAAAAAACAAGAAAAGAAAAACAATTCCCATCCTTTTATTATGAGTATATATTTACTCAAAAAAATGGATGAGAAAGTTTGAGTAAGATCGAAATTTTTGAAAGAAAAAAGAAATTATTTTTAATATGGCAAACTTGTCATATCTTAATTTTTATATTTATAATAAATAAATTTAAAAAGATTGTTATAAAGAAATCAAAATAAGAAAGGTAATCGTAATACCATAAACCACGAGGGATGTTAGTGTGATGGAGCGAAACGTGATGGGAGGTCTCTGAAATGATACATATATTATATTATTAAAATGTTACACTATTGCGTTTGGCCATAAGTTTTGGAAGCTTTTTTCTAAAGAATTTTTTTAAATATGTGTTTATTTATAGAATTAATCTAGTTTTTGGGAGATTTTGAAAATCAAAACTTCAAATACCAAATATAGCGTAAAAATTGCATGGGGCACCCTATTTGGTCTCCCCTTTGTAACTTATACCCGTTTTATTTTTCCGTTTGCATCCGTACCCATTTTTATGTTAAAAGTATTTTAAAAAGATAATTTTGCCCTTCTTTAATAAAAGACTATTGACAAACTGCAGGACAAAAACTTAATCATGTTTAGGCTGAAATTTTAGCAAATAAACTAAAAAAAAATTCAACTTGTTTAGACTGAAGTTTCGGATAAAATTCAAAACAAAATTGTAGACTGCGTTACAAAACTCCAACATGTTTTGGTATGAAATTTTAGCAAATGAACTAAATAACTTTAGCATGTATTAGCAAAAATTCTTTAGAAAATTACATACTGCAAGACAAAAACTTAAGTATGTTTAGTTTAAAGTTATAGCAAATTAACTAAAAAATTTCAGCATGTTTAGTCTGAAATTTTAGCAAATGAACTAAATAACTTCAGCATATTTTGTCTGAAATTTTAGCAAATGAACTAAATAATTTCAGCATGCATTAGCAAAAACTCATTAGAAAATTACGTACTACAAGATAAAAATTTAAGCATGTTTAGTATGACGTTTTAGCAAATGAACTAAAAAATTTAAGCATGTTTAGTCTGAAGTTTTAGCAAATGAACTAAATAACTTAAGCATGTTTAGTCTGAAGTTTTAGCAAACGAACTAGATAACTTAAGCATGTTTAGTCTGAAGTTTTAGCAAATAAACTAAATAACTTAAGCATGTTTAGTCTGAAATTTTAGCAAATGAACTAAATAACTTCAGCATATTTAAACTGAAGTTTCGGATAAAATTCATGACAAAACTATAGACTGCAGGATAAATAACTTCAGCATGCATTAGCATGAAGTTTTAGCTTTAATGTGAAATAACTTCATGCTATATTAGCCTGAAGTTTTAGCTTCAACATGAAACAACTCTATGCTATATTAGCATGAAGTTTTAGCTTCAAGGTGAAACAACTTCATGCAAGTGTGATTCTGAAGATGAATCTGGACGAATTTCTAATTAAGTTACTGAGAGGAGAGGAGGAGATCGTTTTATATCTTTCGTCAGGGGTGTAATTGTCATATTATTATGGATTTTTTGTGAGATGACTACCAAATCAATAATTTTAAAAAATAGGGTACATGTTAAAAGGTGATACAAATATAGGGTACGACTGCAAATCCCCCAATATAGCTTAAGACCTCTTTTTGGGCCAAATCATGACAATTTGGGACTTATTAGCCGGAAAAAAAAAAAACTTTTTAACATGTCAAAACTTGCCAAAATTCATGTCCAAACACATTTTTAATTTCAAATCAAACTTCACTCAAATCAGTTTTTTCCAAAAAATATATGGGAATCCATATCCATACATGCCCGTAATAATCCATTAATCTTTTCAATTACAATTGAAAAATAATACTATAAGGACGATATAAGGACAAAAGTGATTTTCAAGTTTATATTAAAAATAAAAAGGAAAATGAGAAAATCACGGGGAAGAAAAAGAATCTTGGACCATGAGGAATATATTATCTTCCTCTTATCTTTAACAGAAATTCACAAAGCAAATGATTGGCAAATTATTTGACATGAGTCTTATTCAGATTGAAAAATAAAGAATCTTGGAACATGAGGAATATGTTAGTACACCAATTTAGAGTACCAAGATTCACCACTGGAGCTGCTAACACTATTACTCTGCCACCCTTTTGTTATATGGGCGCTCCTCAACTAATTCCGACTATTCATTTCCTACTCAGTTGACAGTTCTCATTGCCCTGTTCATCTCTCTCCGGAATTGTCCATTTCAAGCAGCTATCCTTCAGACCCCTTTTGGCCCTTCTTGTAAATCCTCTCTCTTTATCTCTGTGATTCTCAATATGTTACCTTATGCATATATATTGTTATATTAGACAGTAGATTGCATTCGTTTTTGTGTATTCATGATGTTGATTAAGTCTGCAAGTTTACTGTTTGCTCAATTATCTGTACTGTCTCTCTCTTAGGTTTTGTTTAGGGGTCATTTGATACGCGGGATAAGGATAAGGTAGGATAAAGTGTGGTACTAAATTTAGACTATGTTTAGTCGGGATAAATTTATACCGTCAACCATAGTATAAACTTAGTCCCAGACTTAATCGTGAATATCCCAGCTAATCCCACTTTATCCCATCAAACTTGGTATTATTTTATCCCATGTGGGATAAATTAGTCTAGGGATCTATAATCCCGGGATAATTTAGTCTGCGTACCAAATTGGTGCACATTTGGTGAGAGTTTCTGCATAGTATCCATTTGGTGCACCAAGGATTTATGCTTGACAAGTTATTAAGAATCATGTTTAAATGGTTAATTCTACTGTGTACATTTACAATTAAGCTTATTTGTTACTATTACGATCAAGAAGAGTGTTTTTGGGTTGTCATGAGCACCTATGATATTGAGGGTCATGAAAAGGTGCTGTAATCAGGAAAATTAAGTACAGTTTCTTTGTTTCAAGTATTGTTTTCGCGTTTTTTTTTTGTTTTCCCTGGTGTCCAATATCCCCTTTGGGGCCTCGGCTAATTTGAATTCGCGCTGCATGAGGTCTATTAAAGGGGGAAACGCTCCTTATCAGGATTTTTTCCATTATTGTTTCAGTTATTGGTCTTCACGTTGATTGCATGCCTATACATTGTGGTGTTTCTCTTTTTTTTTCATGATTATAAGCTAAAAAACGACTTGATGCTATTATTTTTTCTATATTGATTGGTCCTTTGTTGTGTGCCAATTTCTAGATGACGTTTGTCAGTTTGCTCAGAAATGGAAAGTGCTGAAGCCAGCCCTCTCAAAAGATACCCTCTAGGTTTGGATGAAACCTCAGAGGAAGAATACTCTTCTCAGTCTACTTTGCTCCAAGATTTTGCTAGTATCCCTACCATTGACAAGGCATGGACTTTCACATCTACCAGTGGTATGAATCCGTTTTTCCCATCATTTTTAATATACTAACTTTTGATGATAAAAATGACAATATAGACTCTGAGGATAAAGAATATCTATTCGTGAATTATTGTTTTTCTACTTTTAAGAGAGAATAATTGTTGTTCTTCAAAGCTGCTGAATGACCCTTTTTTGTTTTTTGCTGCATAAAAAGGTTCTCAGTGTATGTTCTCAATCAGCCAGTCAAATCTCCTTGCCAACAAAAACAGGAGATACATATTATCTAGTCATATTTCGAAGGGAAGTACAAATGGTGTAAGCTTTCAATGGGCTGCCTTCCCTATTGAGATGCCTAGCGGGTCGATAATGGTTCCATCACCTTCAGGTTCAAAGCTTCTTGTTGTTAGAAATCCTGAAAATGATTCTCCAACCAAATTCGAGATTTGGAGTCCATCTCAAGTCGAGAAGGAGTTTCATGTCCCGCTCTCTGTCCATGGCTCTGTATATTCGGATGGATGGTAAAATATCTTACCTACTTGAGGTCTCTGATTTTTCACTTCACCATCATATGGTGTTAGTTAGAATTTGTCAATGCAGGTTTGAGGGAATTTCTTGGAATAATGATGAAAACTTTATTGCGTACGTCGCTGAGGGGCCGACTCCCTCTAAGCCCGTGTTTAATCATTTAGGGTACAAGAAAGGGAATTCTACAGATAAGGAATGTGGTAGCTGGAAAGGTCAAGGTGATTGGGAAGAGGACTGGGGGGAAACTTACCCTGGAAAAACAGAACCTGCTATTTTTGTTATCGATGTTAACAGGTATCATAACTTATATTGTCTGCTTATATCAGTCTACAACAACAACTACACTTCAGTCCCAAATAAGTTGGGGTTGGCGATATGAATCCGCATTCCTTTCATTAAGCTCAACTCATATCATCATTATTACCAAAATAAGTGCTTATATCAGTCTAAAGGGTAAATATTTGATTTCTCTGGACAAATATAAATTTGTGCAGTGGAGAAGTACATCCTGTTGAAGGAACAAGGAAACTTAGTGTTGGACAAGTTGTGTGGGCTCCAGCTTCGGGAAGCTTGCAACAATATCTGGTTTTTGTTGGGTGGCCATCAGATACTAGAAAGTTGGGCATTAAGTATTGCTATAATAGGCCGTGTGCGTTGTACGCTGTTAGAGCTCCATTTTCAAAATCAGAAGATCACCAATCTGGGTATGTAACTTGCTACTTTTTACAGATGAAAATGTTTTGGATCAGCTGCAACTCTTCCTGTGTGAATATAGTGAACAGCCGGCCGAGCTAGGGAGAATTTCTTTATTTTTCATTTATTCTCCTACATGTTTGATGGAATTTTTACAATTTCAGAACTAATGCAAGTGAAGAAGCATCTCCTGTTAAGCTGACACAAAGAATAAGTAGTGCATTCTTTCCTCGTTTCAGGTATGTCTGCTTATACAGATGCTAGAAAGACGAGACATGTAGATGAATAAGTAACTATGGAATTAGTGAAAGCATGTTGCTACTTAGTCTCATATCGCTCTTATTTGATTATTATCGGGAATCAACAATAGCTTCATAAAGGATCTGTCACTATCTTGTATAGTTTCTAAAGTTAAGTTTGTTTGAAAAAGTTAAACTAGCTATTAGTTTTACTGAATTTTCCAGCCCAGATGGAAAGGCCCTTGTGTTTCTGTCTGCAAAAAGTTCCGTAGACTCTTGGGTACATTCTGCAACTCAATCACTTCATAGAATTGATTGGTCCCCAGATGTGAAGCCAAGTCCAGATGCTGATATTGTTGATGTGGTATGCTCTGTCTCTGTTTTACTAACTTATATCAGCACTTTGAGGCTAGTCAATGATCGTTCATTGTTACTTTCATTATAAAGTTAATACTCTTATTAATATTGGAAAAATCTCCCATAGACTAATTAGTTCATTGTTACTATTTTTCATTTTTTCGTTCTTATGTGGCAACTGCAGGTTCCTGTTGTGATGTGCCCCGAAGATGGCTGTTTCCCCGGCCTTTACTGTTTTAATTTGCTAAGAAAACCTTGGCTTTCTGATGGATATACCATGATTTTATCTTCTGTCTGGGGAAGCACTGAAGTAATACTTTCAGTGAATGTGTTGAGGTAACTAAGGCTAATGTGACTATTTTTCACTAACATTATGGTGTCACGGATTTCTTTGAATTTTCTCTGGACTAATGATTTCTTGTTAATCTATAGTGGAAAGGTGTCACGCATTAGCCCAGAAAATTCGAACTTTTCTTGGAGCTTGCTTGCGCTAGATGGCAATAACATTGTTGCTGGTAAGACTCGCATCTATTTTGCACAAAGTGTTTATCTTTGTATTATTCATATACTTGTTTATTCTGATCAATCCAATTTGAATAAAGCTGATATTTATCTGTTTCAAAGTCTGTAGCAGTCCCGCTGATGTTCCTGAAATCAAGTACGGTAGCCTTGTCGTAAAATCATCTGCGGAGGCCTCATGGAGTTGGCTAGATATTTCAAGTCCCATATATAGATGCTCTGAAAAGGTTCTTTTTTTTGTTTGTTCATTAACTAACGTATCATGCTGATTGTTCTGCTCGGTGTTTACTTGTGAGAATAACATTTCTGATATCCATATCCATCTATGATGCTCACAGGTTATTTCTCTGCTGTCATCCTGCCAATTTAGTATTATTAAAATTCCAGTCAGAGATGACTCCGGGAACCTTACAAAAGGTACTAATTCGTCATGATCCGACTAAAAACTTGCTTATAGATGTGCACATGGGCGTTTTAAGTTTTGAGGAGAGATCCTTTTATGTTGGGGAGATCAACTTCTTGCTTTGTACACACTACCCTCCCCAGACCCCACCTGTGGGATTATACTGGGTTTGTTGTTATTGTTGTATCAACTTCTTGCTTTAACCTTATGCACTTATGTCCAGATGAAAAGACATTGTACTATCCTACACTTTTAACTGACATATAGCATATACATCTTGATTAACTGACATATTAGTGTCAGAGAACTACAAAGAAAGAATGTTTTTACAGCAATATTGAATATTAGTCAATAGTGTTATTTAACTATGTGTTAGGATGAGCGAATGAACTGTTGATGGCTCTGTCTATTTTTCTTGGTCACTCATTGCAAATGTTTGATGAGGGTTAGTAATTCCCTTGGAGCTTGAGCGGGAGGTTTATCATATGAAACTCTGCATGCTTATGAGCTTTTGTGCGATTTGCCAAGTCAATTTCCAAATTAGTGATCTATAATAATTTTCTATAACTGTAATCACGACCAAGTTTAATTCTTTTCAGGTGCCGGCAACCCATATGAGGCTATCTTCGTATCCTCCAAGTCTAAGAGCCATAATCTGTGTGATCCGCTAATCGTTGTCCTTCATGGGGGTCCTCACTTCATTTCATTATCAAGCTTCTCTAAGTCCTTAGCTTTCCTTTCCTCAATTGGTTATAGCTTGTTGATTGTTAATTATAGGTGAGAAACTTTCATGCCTCCTGACTTCTGAAGGATGCTGAAATTTATTTGAGTATGATGAAATACTAGTAATGCATATGAAATAGCTTGATGAATGTTCAACCCCATAAATTGAAAAGCAAAGCTCATCAAAAATAAAAACTCCTAAAGTTTCAGAATTTCCTCAAGATATTGAGGGAAATTGCTGTTCAATCTAATTATCAACTTGTAATACCTATTCCTATTTGGTTTGACTTTCGAGAATGAGACCTTTTCCTTGTAGGCAATCCAGACCAGACAAATACTAAAGTAATTGCTACTCTCTTGTTTGAGGCAATCCAAGCCAGACAAAGTGCATATATAGATTTGCTACTGTTCTAGAAACATTTAATTGAGGTACTTTGTGTTAGGCTAAGCGACAGTTATCACCGCGATTAAGTTCCCTTTCTTTTTATTACCTTATCTTAGAGGCTCCTTGGGATTTGGTGAGGAAGCACTGCAATCTCTTCCAGGGAAAATTGGATCACAGGTACTTTTCTGCGGTCCTCTTCTTTTTCTTTCGCATAAAAGTTTCTTTCTTATTAAGGATTTGAAGCTGAAAAATGTTCTTCCTCATTTGTAATTTTTGATATATAAATGTGAGCAGGATGTTAATGATGTGCTAGCTGCTATAGATCATGCTGTTAATATGGGACTCGCAGATCCAGCTAAAATAGCCGTGCTTGGCGGCTCCCATGGTGGATTCTTGACGACACACTTGATCGGCCAGGTCTACTAGTTCTACAAATATTGGCTTAATTATGGTTTCTACAATCTATTCATTTGCTACTGTTTATTCAGGCGCCAGACAAGTTTGCTGCAGCAGCTACAAGGAATCCTGTTTGCAGCCTTCCTTTGATGGTTGGTACAGCTGATATCCCTGATTGGTGCTATGCGGAGACGTTTGGAAAACAGGGAAAATTGATGTATGCTGAAGCTCCTTCATCTGAACACCTTGCTGTCTTTCACAGCAAATCACCGATATCACACATCTCCAAGGTCTGCTGTAACCAACAAAATGTTGATTTGAAAAAGCTTTCCATTTTACACAACCGTGTTTCCCATTATAGAGTAAAACTTGAAATATTATGTTTTCTAGATTTCAGGGATAACTGGTAATAGTTGTATAAGAAGTAAATCATGTACCTATGGATGCAATTTTCTGGATCCTATATTTCTGAAATCATTCCTTACATCTTTGTTATTCTAATGTTGCAGGTCAAAACTCCTATACTCTTCCTGTTAGGTGCCAAGGACCTCCGTGTACCAATATGTACAGGATTGCAAGTAAGATTTATTATCGTCTTCGTCTTACTTCTTATATTAATACATGTTTACATTTCATTCTCAACATGATATTGACAGGTTTGTATTATCATGTATAGTCGAGGGCAATGGCGAAGCCAGAAATGTTTCCAAGGGTGTTCAGACTTGAAAGAACTAAAAAAAATTCTCAACAAAGGGCGTTCAATATATATTTTATACATCTAAAAGCAATATTTTACTTATATACACAGTGTAATTTTTCGTAATATTTCGGTGAAGGGTGGTCAGTTGACAACCCTTTGAAAAAGGTGGCTTCGCCCCTTGTCGAGGGTCTATTGGAAACAACCTCTCTACCTTCACTAGGTAGGGGTAAGGTCAACGTACACACTACCCTCCCCAGACCCCACTTGTGGAATTATACTGGGTTTGTTGTTGTACATTGCAAGGATCATTCATTTGCTTTAATGTACCTGCATTGAGCGGGTGTGTCATGAGTGTGGGTTTTATGCAGATTCTTGAAGATACACAAAATATTAGCGAAAACCTGAACACGCCATATTAGATACTTACACAGACCCATACCAGATAGTTGAGTCCATGTAACATAGATTCCCACAATGATGATATATTTTTCATTTTTCACCATTAATTCCTAGTATGATTATATTGTTTAGAAGAATATCCAGTGACTGGCTCTACATTAAGGCAAGTAATGCTATTCTTTTTCTATTTATCAGTAATCTTTTTTAGAAAGGACTTTTCTTGAACAAGTCAGTCTCAATCAACTATGTAATGAATATCAATTTAGAAACATGAATAAGTGAATTGTGGTTAGTCCATGTTATAAGATGTATAATTTCAGAAAGTAAATGCTTTTCCTTTCGTTGCACGCAGTATGCACGTGCATTGAAGGAGAAAGGAACTGAGGTCAAAGTGCTGGTATTTCCCGAGGACAATCACGCAATTGATAGGTAGGATAGTCCTGAACCAATTTATGTGCATCCTTGGTAGTGCTGAGTTTGATATTGTTTTCCCTTCGAAACTTAACCTGTTTCTGTCTTTTTGCAGACCACAGTCTGACTTCGAAAGCTTTCTTAATATTGGAGTGTGGTTTAAGAAGCATTGCAAATAGACATATATTATTCATATCTTGGCAGAGATTTCATACATTCCTCCACTCTCACTTGCAAGAAGAAGATGAAGTGATTTGCAGGTCAAATTTCAGATCTTCCACTCAAGAAGAACGACGATTATACTCCTCTCGTTGACGTTCAAGCTCGCATCTGAGTTGAAGATATGAACACTCTAATAACATGTTTTACCTAAGGAAAGTTGTCATATATATATATTTGACCTCTGCAGTGACTGGCCATTCAGCACTCATTGTCAAACTCAAAATGTATGTAAAATAAACTGACAGTTGCTTTCGTTGTACAGTTCAATAAATCATCAAAAGGACTTTTTCTTCATTTATGGGAGCAAGATTTGTTAACAGTTTCTTATATAGTATTTCTCATACGCAAGAACAGATTGTAAAATTTTCCAACTGTATTGTGAACTGCAGATAGACAGGAGTTGTAAGATTTTTTAAATACTAATATTTGATGATATTATCTCCAATTTCTATTTGGTATATGTACAAAGTTAAATAACATCAATTTAAAGAAAGATATGATCTTTCAACTTTTTAACAACATAATAAAAGGTATTATTAGCTTAATATGATTTCGTTTTTAGTCTTATCAAGTGAAAAATGAAAATTGTAATATACTATTTGATTCATGTATAGTTTCTTGCTAGTTTTGCTCACAAAATAGGTGTACTTGTTTGCTAAATCTTAGTTGAAGCAAAATACTGACATTTAAGTTCTCTAAAGAATTAATCTAACCTGATTTAGCTAAAAATTCATGATATTGGTATCAAAGAGATTAGGATAGAGGAAGTAGTTTAGAATGAAACATATTACATTATTCAAATGAGTGGAGGGATACTTTATACTAAAGTATCAAAATAATATTCCGATGCATAATTTATTGAATAGAGATCAATTATTTTTATCCTTAAACATCAAATGCAGCTTAAATTAATAAGACTTATCCAGATATAAGGAATATATATTTCCAATTTTGAGTTAAAATTATTGCCCGAGTACTGACACAGTAAGAATGATGAGACACTCAGAGGAAATGAATAAAGAAAGTCAATTATAGATGCTCTTTGGCAAGTGGGACATAATAAATGGACAAAACAAAAACATTGGAATTTAGTGACAAACTGATCACTTCTGCTGCTACTCTACTCTTCTCCTTTCCTCCATTTTCATTCCAATTCTCCTCAACTTATTATCAGCTAGATCATTTTTCATTCTCCATGTAAGCTTTCTTGGTTTATCTTTATCTGCATGTGTGACTATGAGTATCATATATACTGTGTGTCTGTATATGCATAATTTTGTCATTAAGTTTTTCTCCTCTTTCTTTGTGTCTGCTAGCCAAGAATTATCTTTTTATATTCAGAATGAGCTGAACAGTCCTAAAATATTACAGTTAGAATGCTGCAAAAGAAAGAAGGTTGAAGGAATTGATTCTTTTTCTTTGTTAAAAGTAGGTATCAAGAGTAATGAAAGTGAGGCGTGATCAGATTGTTTTATCGGAAACAACCTCTCTCTACCCCGCAGGGTAGGGGTAAGGTCTGCGTACACACTACCTTCCCCAGACCTCACTCTTGAGATTATACTGGGTTGTTGTTGCTGATATCTTGGTGAACGATAGACATTGAAACCAATAATGGATATCCGTCTCTTGTAGTTCTCTAAAGCAAATTATCACATAATTGTAGTTCTTGTTATTTTAGTTCTGCCTAACCATAATTGAATTTTGTCAGTTTGCTTGCAAATGGAAAATTCAGGAGCAAGCCCTCTCAAAGATATTCCTGTTGGTTTAGATGCATTTTCAGAAGAAGAATACCATTCTCAGTCTACATTACTCAAAGAGTTTACTGAAATCCCAACAATTGAGAAGGCGTGGACTTTAAAATCTAACACTGGTATTGCTACTTTGGTTCTCTCTAGTTCTTCTAAGGAATAAATATGTACAAAAGATGACTCGTTATGTTCTTTGTTGTTTCGCGGTTCAGGAGGCTCACAGGTTATGTTCTCAATTAGCCAACCTAATCTCTTGGAAAACAAGAAAAGGAGATATGTATCATATAGTCACATTGCCAAAGAAAGAGATGATTCTGTACAATTTCATTGGGCTGCTTTCCCTATTGAGATGTGGACAGCATCTTTGATGGTTCCCTCTCCATCAGGTTCAAAACTTCTTATTGTTCGAAATGCTGAAAGTGATTCTCCTACTCGCTTCGAGATTTGGAGTTCATCTCAGGTGGAAAAGGAGTTTCATGTTCCTTCATCTATACACGGATCTGTATATTCAGATGGATGGTAACTTTATTTGCTATCCAAAAAAGTACTGTATCCTGTGGTAATAGCATTAGCAGTCATTAGTTGTTATTTCTATCGGTTGCCTGTCTCAGGTTCGAGGGGATTTCCTGGAATTCTGACGAAACTTTGATTGCTTATGTTGCTGAGGAGCCTGTTTCTGCAAAACCGGCATTTACATGTGTTGGTGACAAGAAAGGGAATTGTCCAGATAAAGATTGTAATAACTGGAAAGGTCAAGGGGATTGGGAAGAGGGTTGGGGCGAAGCATATGCAGGGAAAAGACTACCTAAGCTTTTCGTAATCAACATTAACAGGTTAATATAGCTGATATCTGTTAAAGTAGTTTTGGAAAACTTTATCATTTAAACTTGATGAGGGAACCCTTTAATGCAACATTCTGCAGTGGCGAGGTACGCGCTGTAGATGGAATAGAGAAGTCAGTGAGTGTTGGACAAGTTATTTGGTCTCCATCAGCAAAGGACTCACTACAATATCTAGTTTTTGTCGGGTGGCGATCAGGGACGAGAAAGTTTGGTATCAAATACTGCACTAATAGGCCTTGTTCTTTGTATGCTGTTAGAGCTCCTTCTTTTAGATCAGAACCAGAACAATCTGGGTAGGTTGCTTGCTCTAAAGAAGCCTTCTTTTTTCAAAGATTTCGACATCTTGCTTACGCTAAAACATTCATTTCTATTTCCACTGAACCGACCAAGTATTTATTGATAAAATTTCTTTGATGTTCTTGTAATTTCATTTTTTTCCGTCTTCAGAACGGATGCAAACCTATCGGCAGTTCTGCTGACAGAAAGCATAAGTAGTACATTCTTCCCTCGTTTTAGGTATGTCTACTTTTTGAATTGTTGGCTCTCAACAACTCCTACCAACAAAAGAAGAAAGCAAAAATGGAGGAGTAACGAGAAATAAAGGAAATAAGAAATAGGTGAGAAATAAAAAGAAAACAATTCAGAAGTTCACTTTGAGAGGCCCATGCATTTTATTTCCCTGGCTTACTTTTTCTTTAATAGATAAAAAGGTGATATGGTTGCATAGCCTAGTGGAAAACATCAATTGTAAAGTCTAATTAAATAACTTTTTCGAACTATAACATAAAATCTGACAACCCCATTTTTGGTTTCTAAATTCTCAGCCCAGATGGAAAGTTCCTGGTGTTTTTAGCTTCAAGAAGTGCTGTAGATTCCGGAGCACATAATGCAACAGATTCACTCCATAGAATTGATTGGTCCATTGATGCAGAGCCACGTCCACATAACAAAATTGTTGATGTTGTATGTTTTTCTGCTTTGCGCACATGTTGTATGTGGTTGAACCTTGTCACTTACTACTCTTGTTGAATTGAACACACCAACGGCATAATTATTTCACCTTTTCCATTTTCTGAGTTCTTAAATTTGTTGTTTCACTTATCAAGCTTATTAGATAAACCATGTGCTTATTGGTGTTCAATGACATGTATAGGTTCCTGTTGTGATGTGTGCTGAAGATGGAAGCTTCCCTGGGTTATACTGTTCAAATATTCTTAGTAACCCGTGGATTTCTAATGGACGCACTATGGTTTTATCATCTGCCTGGGGCAGCACCCTAGTTATACTGACCGTGGATGTCTTGAGGTAAAGCGGGGAGACCATTCTATCTCCATCGTACTCAAATGTTGTATATCTTCCTCTGTGTTCAACCACATGCTCATTACTTTCAGTGGAGACGTATCACGAATCAGCCCTAGCACATCAGAGTTTTCATGGGATGTCCTTACTCTAGATGGTGACAATATAATTGCAGGTAAGAGTCAATATCGACTGGGGAATCTTAGTAGCTCAGTTGGTTGGAAACCTGAACTTTCACCTTACTAGAGAGAAGAAGTGGACCTAGGATTGAAGGTCAGGGGTGCACTTTTGGATTCAACCAAAATCTGTTTTGTATAGAGGGTGTCCACTACTAATATATCACTATTTTCTAAAGACATATATATGTATACTTGAAATTTTTGCCGAACTTTACAGGTGGCGGTGACCACTCTTAGTATAGCATAGGTCCGCCTCTGTTGGTGAGAGTTTGATTCCCCACCTTGTAATCTCCTCCCCCATTTCCCCTTCTCCTACCCCCTATGTAATAAAAAGACTTTTTAACTAACAAAAACAACTTTTCATCGATCCCAAGCAAGTTGTGGGTCAGCTATATGACTCTCTTTACTAACCATGTTGCTCATTTAAGCTAACATTTTAACTTATCAAAAAAAGTCATGGTTGACACCTGAAATCTTCTGTTTGATAAGCTTGAAAATGTATTGCCTAATCAAAAACCAAGAGAGTCTTCTAATGTTGTTTATATCTTTGAAGTATGTAGCAGTCCAGTTGATGTTCCTGAAATCAAGTATGGTTGTCTTGTCACGAATGCCTCTGATTACACCAGATGGAATT